CCCCCCCCCCCCTCGGTGTTTGCCATCGGGATTGGTTTTTTCGTCGCCTGGCAACGACGCTGTAGAACAAGCCAATTCACTTCGTGAACTCGGCAATCAGGTTACCGTTTTGTTTTGTTTTACCTCTGTTTTTTTTGGCGGTAACCATAATCGAGGTCGAGTAGATCATGTTCTGCGGGGTCGAGAACCCTCACTCCGCGCAAGGGGCATANAAGTCATACGCTGCTGTCATCCGTATGCAAGGAAGTAAGCACAAGATGCCCAACATCCTGAGCAGGATGCAGCGCACCCTTCATGCGACTCGCCGAATACCTCACGGCGCTTCGCGCTTGGTGATGTGAGAGCCTGGTGGTCCGGTGAGAACTCGGCGTGCTTCGTCCCGGCTTTGTAGGGATGCGAGGTCAATGGTCTAACGACTACGGCATGTACGACTATGAGTACACCCCCCCCCTCCCCCCCAAATGACCTCGATTTTCGATTAGTAGGTCTATGTGTCTCGATTTTTTTTTCACGTGTAACGTTGCGGGTACCAATCTCTTGGCACCAACCTTGCATGATGGATCTGCTGACAGACTGCAGGCAATGCACATGTATCTACACTACAACATGATTTGTAAACTCATATATGTAAGGCGCGTTTCATAGGAAAACCGTTGTCTTGTCGTTGGCATCGCCATTGCTTTTTTTCCCGTCACTTTCAGCGCTCACAGCTCATCTTCTGCCGGATGCATATGTAGACTAGTGGGCGAGCTCCCAGAGTGGGATCGAGATGAAGCAGAAGACCAGCGGGGGCGGTGGTGCCCCACCCCTTCCCAAGGGCCACAAGAAGAGGGTGCCTCGGAAGGACCGCAACAAGACGGCCAGCGGGACAGACGGGCGGTACACTCATCCCCTTCTCGTCCCCGTCCTCCCCCCCTCGCCCTCTTTGTAGGCGGCCCGTCTGTCCCGCTGGCCGTCTTGTTGCGGCCCTTCCGAGGCCCCCTCTTCTTGTGGCCCCCACCACCACCCCCGCTGCTCGCACCGCTACCGCTACCGCCACCGCTACCGCCACCGCTACCGCCACCGCTACCGCCACCTGCAACAAGAGCAGAGCACGCTAGCAGCACGGCGCCGGGCGGGGCAGGCCAAGCCTAGAGCATGGCACACGGTGGGGAAGAAAGAACGAGGAAGCGAGGGAGAAAATCGCGAGACAGAAAAACAGAGGCAGGTTGTCCACGTCAGAGAGACGTTGGGTGCTGCAAGGCACGCCCGTTACACACTTGTGCCTACAGCAGGTACGCTTCAGGAGGGGGGTTGTCATTCCTCAAGGTCGCCTGTTGACATGCCCCAGAGTCGTCGACTTTCTGCCAACAACAATGACGCGCTTGTCGTTGTTCCTGAACGACTCAAATGATCTGCTTGGAACACTTGAAACTCGCAGGAACTAGTGTGGTTCCGAACTTGTGGTCTGTGTCTACTCATTTCTCACACACAACACGCCTGCTCGCCTTCCACCCCCCTCACACACAAACTTTGACTCTAAACGATCCGCAGGTTTCAAGTCGAGCGGGAGCGCGAGAACGCGATCATGGAGCTGGGGAAACTGGGGTCATCCCTTGGTGGGCACCCTAGCTCCGTGAAAACGTTCTCGCGCTCCCGCTCGAAATGTGAACACCTGCGGATCGTAAAGTCGACAGCAAAAGCACGAGTGACATGCGGACTGATGGCATGGCACTCCTTCGAGCTCTTGCATAACCACACAAACACGAAAACGCAAAGGGAGGCAGGCGCAAGGCGAAGGAACAGCACGTCGAATCAGAAGCGGTCGATTGGCCACCCAACAGCGGGCAGCCTGTGCAAAAGCAAATACCACCCGCCAAGAAACGCAAGAAACACGAACGAACCGTTTAGAACGACCCCCACTCACGTTGAAACCCAGCAGTTGCCGGACAACGGGAATGCCGTTGTTGGTCTGTGCATGGCGTGTACGTAAGCTCCACACGTGCCACACTTCCACCTGGGTTCCTCTGCGGACGAAAGTCGCAGTGGTTTATTATCGTTTTTTTCTTCGAGTTTGACAAATCAGGAGCACCACCGTAAACAGGGCGGCGGAGTGGATGGGCGGGGGGGGGGGGGGGGGGGGGGG